ATTTTTTGTTAATTGCTTGCATTTGTCTTTGCACATTTATTTTGTCTAATTCATGAAAATACAAAAATACATTGCATTTGCATTTAGGATTTAATTTTTTATCTTAGGATTTAATTCGTAAATTAGTTGTTCTATAAAATATGAAAAATCACAAAAATAGTTCATGTTGCATTTTAACTCTTTAATTTTGAATTTCATAGCTTTCCTTTTAATTTAGGACTTAATTAATTATTGTAAATATTATGTTGAGTATTTAATATAATGTGGTAGGTTAATTTAGGTTAATAATTAATTTAGATTTTATTTTTAATTTTGAAAAGAAGAGAAAATTTGAATTTGAAAAAGAGATTAAGAATTAAAACAAAAGAAGCCTGGATTTTGGGCTATTTCAATTTAACTTTACCCAGCCCAATTAATTCCCCATCAACCCGTCGAAATTGGCCCAAAATCCATCGTTTTACCCGGTCCAAGTGGTCAGCCATGAAGACCTTTGAAACGACGTAGTACGGGGACGATACTACGTCGTTTTGAGTTCATTAGGTTAAATCGATCTCAACCCTTCAGTTTTCATCATCCAACGGCTGTGAGGCACCCTATCATTTTAATTAAAACTGTATGAACTCTAGAAGAACCTCGTATCTCTTCACTTCCATCTCTCATCTTCAACCCTAGACCCGCCGCCTTGAACCCCTTCACCATCTCCGGCCGGCGGCGGGGCTCACACCACCACCAAAATTCAACCATGCAACCATCACCCCTCCCTGAACCCCAATCCACCGCCATTTCTCCCCAAATCCTCACCAAATTGGGTCAATTTCAAATCTAAAAACGAAGAAAAGAAAATCCTACAAGCTTTCGAGTTTTCTATGATCGATGCGGCTTGAAACTAGTATTGTTCATTTGTTCTTAAAGAAAACATGCGGGTAATACCAGTTTCGGGTCAAATCGAAGTCGTTTGAGGTTGTCAAGCCTTGTCCATGTGGCCATTTAGGTATTCTCGTTCTTTTCTCCTTCGTCTCCGTCTTCTGTTTTGTTCGTGTACTCGCCTCCTTCTGTTTCTTCTCTTTTCTGTCTTTTAAATGTTTTTAAGTCATTTTGTGTGCGTGTTTGTGATTCTGAATCTTCCTTCTCTTTAATTTAAGTTTATTTTTAAGTTCAATGAAATAGGAATTAGCGTATCAATGTCTTGGTATAATTTGATTGATTAGTTGGTTCAATTGCTTTAAATTAATATTTCTGAGCACCTTTTATTGAAAGGTTTGTTTGTTTAAAAGGTTCCGACTACGTTCAGAGTTGGAAATTCATGTTTGGGCTATAGTATTCAGGCCCATGGTTTGGGTGAGGTTTTGTTTTAAGATGACCCTTATTTGTTTTTGGTTTATGAAGGTAAATGGGAGTTGTTTAAGGGGTAGTTTAGGAAATTGGGTAGAGGAATCTTTTGTAACTGCATTGGGAAGCTTCTAGGAAAGTGGGGGAAGGGATTGGCTCGCAAAAACTGATTTGAATTGGGGTCTGAACCGAAATAATGAAATTGGGGAAAAGGGTGAATGATAATTACCAAAGCTATTACTGCTGCCCTAAAAACCCCTCTATAAAGTCCCCATTTCCTAAATTTTGGAAAAAAGAGGATCAGACCTGGGAAAATTGAAAACGGCTGAGTCTGAAGAGTTTTGAGAGAACATTGAATTTCTTGCATTTCTTTGGTCAAAACTAGTCCAATTTTGCCTTAAAAATTCTTAGCTAATCAGATTTTTGAGATTGTTGTTCATCTGGGCTCTTTATTGGTTGGAAGAAGTGAATTTTATCTGGTGTTACTGATTTTTTAAAAGCCGATTCTGTTTGCTGCTGCTATTAGCTGATTCCAAGCACATTTTTGGTTTGTTTTTGCTGTATCCAGGTACACTCTCGAATCCCTGGAATGGAAGTGGATGTAGTGATATCTGTAATATTAGAGTTGATGACTGAGATTGTTAAATGAAGTTTTATACTCAGGTGTTCATGTAGCCTATTATTCAGAGTTACTTCTGCAGAAATCAGTGTAGTATTTTAGTGTTGAATTAGATGTTTTACTAGTTTTCGTAGTTTGTTTTTTATGTAAATAACAGACTCACATTTTAATAGTTGGCTACAAAGTTTGTTTGAAGCATCCTCCAACTGAAATTGGAGGCTGTGCAGTTAACTGGATGAGGAGACCCAAGTACCCCTTGGTAGAATTTTGTTCTATTTGGTTTATGGCCATTGGTGTTCATATGTGCTTGTTACTGTTTTTCTGTGTGAATTCATACCATTGGCTTTAGTTCACATAAGGTAGTTATCATCTGATTCTTGGTTAAATGGCATCTTTGGTTTTTTCTTATTTAGTTGACGAGAGATAAGCGAATTATTGAATCAGTATGTGGTGATAGAGTAGAGTTTCAAGAGTTTGACATGCCTACTGCAAAGAGAACCCCATAGAACTCGAGAGAGTTGCTGAATGCATATTATAGGTTCTTAATCCAAGTCACAATGATATGTCCTAGTTGATTACTAAAAATGCTAGTGTAGGATTTCTGCAGTCATTAAGCAATTACTGTCAAAAAAGAAACCGCACGCGATATGATTTGCATGTGCTGTAGCTGTTTCAACGATAATTGTTTTCTTTCCTTCTTTACGTTTTGTGCTGAATGAGTACACTATTTTTTGGGCTTACACAGTTATCCAAATTAGTGCGTTCGTGTATTACGTTTAGCCTAAAATGATTAAAACCCCTTTAACCCCTCCTTAATTACTTAGATTCTTTAGTTTAGTTTGAGGCGAGCTATATTAGATAAGTTACAATTTGTGGCCCTCAATAGCTAATATAGGAACCCTTTTGTTAGAATAGTTCAAGGCGTGCCATGCCAAGCAAATCTCAAATGCGTGGCCCTCGCTTAATTAATATTTTAATTCTTTAGAAATCGAGGCGCGCCATTTAGCAAATTTCCATGGCCCTCGCAAAGTCAAAAACGCGTAGTCACTTTAGGCGCGTTATTTTAATAATTAACTTCCTTAAACTCGGGTGTGCATTTCATGTGACCCAAATCCAAATCTTAACAATGTTAAATAAAGTGTGTCTCGGACTGCGGGTGCATTTCATGTGGCGTGGTCCAAAGACGTGTTTTAGATGACGTTGAAATCTTCCTAAAATAAATAAAAGCGGTTTAAAGTAAAATGCACATAGGTTTTAAAAGTGTTTTAAATCAGATAAATATGCCAATAATAACAGTTGAGCGACCGTGCTAGAATCACGGAACTCGGGAATGCCTAACACCTTCTCCCGGGTTAACAGAATTCCTTACCCGGATTTCTAGTTCGCGGACTGTAATACAGAGTCAACCTTTCCTCGATTCGGGATTTTAAACCGGTGACTTGGGACACCATAATTATCCCAATTGGCGACTCTGAATTTTTAANGTGTGACAATATTGTGGGACGATGTGTAATATAAAGGTGTATTATGTATATAGTGGAGTGTGTGTAAAAATGTGTGGTGCTTATTTTAAGAAAAATAAAAGACAATGTGAAGAATAAATTATGTGGTCAAAATTAAAACCCACCAATTATAAAACAACTATGGGCTCAATACCATATACCTCTAAGACTATGTGTTATCAAACATTGTATTTTTTATTTTATCTGTGTATGTACGCGTATCAGTGTAATTTAATTAATATAATTTATGTATTCAGATGTGTATATGTATTCAAATGTATCAGCAATATGTATTCATATGTTTTTGCACTATAGATGACCTGATATACATCATGTATTCAATGTAATTATATAATTTCAATATATAAATCTAGTTGTAAAGATACCACAAAAAAATATTTTAGTAAAGATACCACTAAGAAAGGAAAGGATGGATTGAATCTATGAAGATTACTCTGTTTTTGGGGTGTTTTCGGTTGAGAATCTTTTCTATAACTAGAAATACAAATTTTGTGTGTTATAATTGAGTTTGATGAGTTATATGAGGAGTCTATTGCGTTAATTGATTCACTTACCGTTTTTAAACAACTGAAGACCTTTTTTCGCAAATTCCGTTACTGTATTTACGAATACAGCTCGCGAATACAGTCGAATACATTCTCTGCTTAGCTGGACTTCCCTGTTTTCCGCCGAGTTTTGCTTCTGTATTCATGAATACAATAACAAAAATACATCGAATACAGTCTATAACAACTGAAAATATAGCTATAGAAAATAATTTTGTAACACTTGTTTGGATCAATGTTTCCCATCATTTTATAATGTATTGTATTTTATTGTATCGTATCGTTTTATGAATATAATGTTTGGATAAATTGTATTGTTTGTTGTTGTTAAATAATATTTTGCTTATTGGTTTGACTGTATCGTACTGCACTGTAACTGATAAGTTTACTAAAATATCCTCAACTGTTTAAATATTAAATTAACAAAAAAATATGCATAAAAATAATTTTAAAAACAAAACAGAAGAACGTAAACCACCTTAAGAAAGCAGAACAAAGGAACGAGACAGAAGAAGGCAAAATAAAGGAGCACAACTAATTAAATCTGAGTTAAAAGCAAATTAGGAGAAAAAATAAAAGTGAAGGCGGCAAAACACCTTTAACGTTGGCGGCAGAAGTTCTGGAAAAAAATAAAATAGGTTATAGGTTGGAGATTTGGAGTTAAAATAGAAAAAGGTAAATGGTAAAATAAAATTGTGGAGTAATAAGTTAAGGCATAATTGGAAAGAAAATTAAGAAACAATCCCACCACACCAAATCGGTTATTTAAAAAAAGAGACTTTTCATTATTCCGAAATAATAAATTTAATAATAAGATACAACCAATTTTAATGAAACAATCAAACAAACATTATTTTGGAATTACAATACAATATGATAGTTTATTGCATGGGGATCAACTATCAAACAAGCTGTAAGTGGTAGCTATAGTAGTTTATGAAAATTTATCTAATAAAAACCATTTTAAAAAATGAACTGCGAGGCTATTACTGTATTAAATATTTTCTTCTCTCTCCCGTTTTCCAATCTAGGAGAACCAAAACCCTTCCTTGAGCTACTTTTCCCTTGCTATCCTAGCGATCAGAGAAAGATGTCGTACTTGTTGCCTCACCTTCACTCGGGATGGGCGGTGGATCAGGCCATTCTCGCTGAAGAGGAACGCCTCGTCATTATCCGCTTCGGCCATGACTGGGACGAAACTTGCATGCAGGTACGCCCTAATGCCTTTCCCCCTCCTTTTGCATCCCCATATAGGAAACGATGTGCATATATTGTGTTTCTAGGATGTTTGTTTTAGTAAATTATGGGTTTATTGCTTTGGGTAATAATTTGCTGCGGTTTTTTTTTTAGTTTGTTCGGGAAACCCTAGGTTCTTGTGTATTCTTGATTACTGTAATTTCAACTGTTTTCACCATAAATGTTTTTTGGTTTCAGTTTTATGGTGCGTTGAACCAGCTGTATAGTCTTTTTATTTTTTAGTAGAAAAGAAGTTTTGGGTATTCCGTGTTTTGTTTGTTTAATGTCTTAGGATAATCAATTTGTAGTGGGTCTAAAATTTCTGTAATGTTTCTTCATATTAGAATTCAGAAATACAATTGCAATTAACGGATGGAAGCTTGGATTTAATGAATAAGGTCTATTACAAATAGTGGAGGAAAAATGGG